GTAGTTCGAACTAGGCTTCCTAGTTCGAACTACCGTTACTCCTCATTCCACGAGGAGTGATGGTAGTTCGAACTAGGAAGCCTAGTTCGAACTACCTAGTTCATGCCCCGTGTAGCTGCGCTGCACAGAGTTCAAACGAGCGGGGTTTTAAAAATGGCGCCCCCCCGCTTATGCAAATGAAGCCCAGGAAATTCAAATCCCGGGCTTCATTTGCAAGTGCGGTATGCCTACATTACCCCGCTAGTTTGAACTAGCGGGGTAGTGTAGACATACCCCTAGGGAGGTTGTGGAATCTCCATCTCTGGAGATATTTAAGAGCAGGTTAGATAACTGTCTATCAGGGATGGTCTAGACAATATTTGGTCCTGCCATGAGAGCAGGGGACTGGACTCGATGACCTCTCAAGGTCCCTTCCAGTCCTAGTATTCTATGATTCTATGATTCACAGCACATGCCGAGGGCTGCAGCTTAAGTGTGGTTTCATATGTTTCGTATGTGCAGATATATTCAAATAGCTTCTTTCACACAGATGGGCATGAATACAAAGATTACAGCGAGACTACACAACACACAGGCCCCATTTAAGTCATTTCTGCTGGTATTAATAAAATGCAATATTTACCCGATTTCCACCCATATGACAGGATTTTTAATGAGCAATGACAGTCCAAGAAATTGACTACTAAAACACATATCAACAGAAGACCATTATATTGACTCCTTTTTTTGTTTTGTCTCCCTCCCGTGGGCCATGTGTTGAGCCACACGTAAATTCAAATTGCACCACAGGTGGCTACATGTTGAATAGCCCTGCACTAGAGCAACTGATTGTTCTTTCCTAAGTGGAGTACTTTGCATTTGTCCTTATTGAATTTCATTCTATATACTTTAGATCATTTCTACAGTTTGTTTACATAAATTTGTATTTGCAAGCCTTCCCAGCTTGGTATTTTCTGCAAACTTTATAATTGTATTCTCTGTGCCATTATGTAAATCACCGATGAAGATATTGAACAGATCTAGACCCAGAACTGATCTCTGCAGAACCCTTTCAATATGCATTACTTTGTCTTTATTAACATTAACATTCATCTGGCATTTTGTTGTCCAGTCACCTAGTTTTGTGAAATCCTTTTGAAATTCTTCAGTCTGCTTTGGACTTAACTATCTTGAACAGTTTAGTATCAGCTGCAAATTTTGCTACCTTTCTCCAGATCATTTATAAATATGCTAAAGAGGATTGGTCCCAGTACAGACCCTTGCGGGACAACAGTAGTTACCTCTCTCCATTCCTCAGTGCAGTAACTTCTAGTCATGCTAACAATTAGATAGTATTTGCAATAATGTGCAGAATTAGGCTTATGTTTTTAAGCAGTGACCATGAATTAATTATTGTACAAGACATAAAATACAGACAGACTTTACCCTGGAAATGTTATAAATGAAGTAAAAGTACATGCTAATGACTTTCATCCATGCATCTGAAAGCATTTTACAAATTGGAAATGGCTAAGCCTCACAATATCCTTGTGAAATAAATATTATTGAGTGAACTGGATCACAGAGGAGTTTGGGACCTACTCCTCCAAGGTGTCGAGAGGTAATGAGTGCCCTAATGTCTTACTGATGTCAAAGCTTACATTGTTCAGCACCTCAAAAGATGCACTCTATCTCTTGTTTGTTTGGGTGCTTAATAATTGGAGGAAGGTCAAGCAATCAGTTTGAGGGATCATTAGTTTCCTGCTCTATCCACTGGACCACACTCCAATAAAAAATGACAGTAGATCTTTAGATGTGTAAAAACAGTGTTTCTAAACTACAGGCAGAATTTACAAGAGCATAGTTGCTGGAGTACTTATTATTATTTTTGCTTTTAGGAAGAAGACAAACCAGTTCTCTACATATACAATGTTGTAACCCAAGAGAAAGTGCCCATTGAGGGGAGTATTTCTCTTCTTGCTACAAAAGTGTCTCTTTTGAAAACCTTGGTAACCTTGAAATGTGGCCTTCCAAATAGCGTTTATTGTTTTAGGACTCCAGAAGGCAGGGAGATGTATGACTGCAACACACTGAACGATTACCAGTTAGATATAGGTATAAGATGGTTTTGTGTAAACTACCTAGTAAATAGAGCAACGTTGACCCAAAACGTGTCTATAATATGACAGTTTTCTATACTTAAAGAATATTAATCTTTAAGATTACATTTAAGGGAAACCTGAAAAGCATTAATATTATTGATATTTTTGGGGTGCATATCTGAGTATTTAAAAAACATTTTGGGTCATCTGATGCCTTTCAAAATAAAACAATGTGAAAGGCATGTGGAGAGACAAAAAATTAAAGATGTCCAAAAGGAACCCATAATGTGCTTCTGTATGCCTTGTAAAAATACTGGGCCTGTACTTGTAGCACTTTAAATTGGGACTTATTTCAGAGAAATCTGTGGAGCTGCACTGGTATGAAACGGGGGCTGGGGAGGGAAGAATGAGAATTCTTATCAAACTAAATGTTGCTTGTAAAATGAAACAGTGCACACAAAGTTGCAGAATTCTTGCATAACGAGATATAAGATTAATGCAAGCTCTGCGAGCCCACTGTGCTATAGTCTCAGACCACCTCCAAAGGTATTAATCTTTCCCATTACATTATTACTCAGCGGCTGCATCTAGACTGGCAAGTTTTTCCGCAAAAGCAAGTGCTTTTGCGGAAAAACTTACCAGCTGTCTACACTGGCCACTTGAATTTCCGCAAGAACACTGACTTCCTACTGTCTGAAATCAGTGCTTCTTGCGGAAATGCTATGCTGCTCCTGTTCAGGCAAAAGTCCTTTTTCGCAAAGCTTTTGCGCAAGAGGGTCAGTATAGACAGCACAGTACTGGCTAAAATGGCGATCAGGGCTTTTTTGCGCAAAAGCGCATCTAGATTGCCACAGACGCTTTTCTGCAAAAAGTGCTTTTGCGGAAAAGCGTCCGTGCCAATCTAGACGCTCTTTTCCGCAAATGCTTTTAATGGAAAAGTTTTCCGTTAAAAGCATCTGTGGAAAATCATGCCAGTCTAGACGTAGCCAGCTAGTATACTGACTTTGTTCTGGAAAAACTTAAACAACAACCAATAGTCTTGTAGCACTTTAGAGACTAACAAAAATGTATCCTGCTTAAAAGCCGGTTTCTCCCAGCTCCATCTCCACAGGGGGCAAGGGAGGTAAAGGCACAGCAGGAAATGGTGCGAGCAGAGATGGAAGCGGTCTCCACACATGCCTTTCTGCTGCAATTCTGCTTTTGATATGTACAAAAGCCCCAGCAAAAGCCCTGCATGGAGCGGGAGCCAGCAGAGGACTCTCCCGTTGGCCCTGCACTCCCTGCAGGGCTTCCTTTTGAGGCCAGAAGCACCTTTGAAAGGCTCAAGCGCGCTCCCTGCAGGGCTTTCACTTTTGAACTGTAGCAAGAGCTCAGTAGGGCTCTTTCTATAGTTCAAAGGTGGAGGTGTCCTTACAGTCTAATCGAACAGTCAATGGAAATCCCATTGACTATTTGATTAGTTAATCTAAATTTAACATCCCTTCTTTCGTGGGCACAACCCACTTTCATCTGAAGTGGGCTATGACCACAAAAGCTCATGATACCATCAACATTTTTCGTTAGCCTCTAAGGTGCTACAAGATTATTAGTTGTTTTTTAACCGTTTCCAGTTACAGACTAACACGGCTATCCCTCTGAAACTTTTGACTTTGTTTTGGACAGCTGATCAAAGTTTTGTCATTTTTAATTTTCGAAAATAAACTGAAAAATGTCAGACCAACCTAACCAATGAACCAACCTAACTGTAGGGTAAGATAATGCCAAAATTAGAATTCATTGCTTCCTAGTTCCTTCTCTTTTGCTTAGTCTGCTAGAGCAGAAATACTTAACCTTCCACCTGCATTCCCCCAAACCAGCAACAGTTTCTCATAACAACCTAAAATCTCTCTATATGCTGTAGTCGGGAAAGATAGATGTAAAAACTCAGACAGTACTGATTCAGGTGACTAGACAAGCTACAGTGCAATTATTGATTTTGCTCCATAACCTCAATATTAAAACAATGCCAAGAAATGAGATAAATTTAAAATAATCTAAATACAAACTTACAACAATCAAGTAATGCTTGGTTTCTGGGACTATATTTATAAAAGATGGATAATTAAGTTGTTGGTCAAACACACATCTGATACCATATATACAGTATTACAAAAATAAGCAATGAGACAATCTAAATGTACACTGCTTTTAAAACTGTTCAGAAAAAAAAGCCCAAGGATTTGGTCAACAGTATACATACGGAAACGTAACCTCTGAAATCATGGGCTACATGATTGATCAATAATTCTGCTCTCTTGGGTGTGGATATTTGGTGAAGGGTCCTGAACCCAGTATATACATCAGGCCGCCACTGCTTTATTTACCTGAATGTCCACAGGTACAAGTGCTTGCAACTCCTGTCGGCTGTGGATCACTGTTCCTAGCCAACAGGAGCTGTGGAAAGTGGTATAGTCTGGGACACCACTTCTCAAAAGTCCCATTGGCCAGGAACATTGATCCACAGCTGACAGGAGCTGCAAGACCCCATACTTGCAGAGGCTCAGGTAAATAAAGTGGTGGTGGCTCGCCATGGGCTAACCCTGGCAAACTACTTCTGGCCCACAGGCCAGTTATTGCCCATCACTGATATATACAGTAACATCCCAAACCAGATAAGAAACATTTTAGAGATCTAAAGCCCAGAAGTTCGGGTTTGCAGTCCTGATGCAGTCACAACTGCTATTGCAATCATTTTGGATATGGGGACTTGTGTGTAGGACTTGTCTGCTCACACTGATTCAGCACCCACATAACTCCATGGAGTTTAAGTGTGTACACAATATCAGCCTACCAGGGACAGCCTCTAAAGGATTAAATTTAGAATCTCACAACCTATCTGATATTTGCAGTTTTAACAATGGGCCCACTTCTACCCCCAGAAACCAGTGAGTGTTACAGCCATGAAAAAAAGATCAGGACTGATCCCACAGTTTTTTAATGCCCTCTAATGGTAGTTTTAATTACAATACT